ACCAGCTTCTGGATTGGTTGATCCTTTGAATTGTCCTTTTCCTCTCTCTGTCATTCAGTTCTGCTCTAATCTTGACTATTTCCTTCCTTCTACTTGCTCTGGGATTTATTTGTTGTTGTTACTCCAGTTCTTGAAGTTGTAGGGTTAGGTCCTGTATTTGAAATGTTTCTACCTTTTCTAGGTAGGCCTGTATTGCTGTGAACTTCCCTCTCAGGACCGCCTTTGCTGTGTCCCATAGGTTTTGGACTGTTGTCTGTTCATTTTCATTGGTTTCCAGAAACTTTTTGATTTCTTCTCTTATCTCATTATTGACCCATTCCTTCATTGTTTAATAGTCTACTGTTCGGTTCTCCATGAGTTTGCAAGTTTTTGAAGTTTCTCTTTGAGGTTGATTTCCAGTTTCAAGCCCTTGTGGTCTGAGAAAAAGTTTGGTATTATTTCAGTTTTCCTGAATTTGCTGAGGTTTGCTTTGTGTCCTATCATGTGGTCTATCTTTGAAAAACTGCCATGAGCCTTTGAAAAGAACGTGTATTTTTCTTCTTTGCGATATAAGGTTCTAGATATGTCAGTTAAGCCCATTTGATTTAATGCGTTATTCAGCTCCACAATATCCTTGTCGATGTTTTGTTTGGAAGATCTGTCCATTTTTGACAGTGGGGTGTTGAAATCCCCTACCATCAGTGTGTTGCTGTCTATATCTTTTTTGAAGTCGTCCAACAGTTTCCTTATATACTTGGGTGCTCCTATATGGGGAGCATATAAGTTTACAATGTTTATGTCTTCTTGATAGATTCTTCCTTTAAGTATTATAGAGTGCCCCTCTGGGTCTCTCATTATGGCCTTTGTTTTGAAATCTACTTTGTCTGATACAAGTATGGCAACCCCGGCCTTTTTCTCTTGCCCATTTGCTTGGAATATTTTTTTCCATCCGTTGACTTTCAATCTGTGTAGGTCTCTTGCTCTGAGGTGGGTCTCTTGTAGGCAGCATATGGGTGGGTCATGTTTTCTTATCCATTCAGCTACCCTGTGTCTCTTGATAGGGGCATTGAGTCCATTAAAGTTGAGAGATATTACTGATAGAAACTTACTAATCTGTTCTCTTTGTACCTGGGTTCCTCTCTCTCTCATTCTTTTCCTTCATCTTCTTAAACCAGTCCCCTTCGCATATCTTGGAGTGCTGGTTTGGTAGAGATGTATTCTTTTAGCCTTCTCTTGTCTGGGAAACTCCTTATTTCCCCTTCTATTTTACTTGAGAGCTTTGCTGGGTAGAGCACCCTTGGCTGTAGGCCCTTGCTTTTCATGACTCGGAATATTTGTTGCCATTCCCTTCTGGCTTATAGTATTTCTGATGAGAAGTCAGCTCCTAGGCGTATCGGGGCCCCCTAGTATGTTACTTTCTCCTTCTCCCTTGCTGCCTTGAGGATTCTCTCTTTGTCTTTGATAGTTGCCATTTAAATGATGATGTGTCTTGGAGTGGACCCCCTTGGGTCCCTCTTGAGTGGAGTCCTCTGTGCCTCCTGGATCCATGGGAGCCTTTCTCTCCTCAAATTAGGGAAATTTTCCATCATTATTTTTTCAAGGAGGTTCTCTATCCCTTGCTCCTCCTCTTCTCCTTCTGGTATCCCTATTATACGGATATTACTGCGTTTCAGGTTGTCCTGCATTTCCCTAAATGCTTCTTCATTCTTTTCGAGTCTTTTATCCATTTCTTGTTCTTTCTGGGAGCTTTTTTCTACCGTATCCTCCATCTCACTGATTCAATCCTCGGCTTCATCCAGCCTGCTTTGGATTCCTTCTACTGTGTATTTCAATTCACAAATGGTATTCTTCATATCCTCTTGTGTCTTCTTGATAGTTTCTATGTCCTTTTCCAGGGTGATATAGTTTGCTGTAAGATCCTGATAGTTTCTCTGCAGTTTCTCATAGTTATCTTTGAGCTGGCTGAGCTCGTTGAGCTTCCTTAGAACCATTGTTTTGAATTCAACGTCTGAGAGTTCCCTTGCCTCTATTTCATTGAGCTCTCTCTGTGGGGAGTCCCCTTTTCCACTCATTTGGGGGGAACTTCTTTTTCTTCCCATTTTTGTGAGAGCCTGTTAAGTAATTTACCTACTTACTTATTTATTTATTTTTGCTTCTGCTTCAATTGGGCCATCTAGATTTCCTGACTTTGTGGATTAAACTTTTATGGTAGTAGGTGGGTCTTTTTTTATTTATCTATCTATCTTTCTATTTATTTTTCCCTTTACCTCCCTTTCTGGGCCTGACCCTGATGATGTCAGTTGTTGACCCTATATGACCTTGGGTCGTTTATTTGAGCCTTCCAGGAGTCTACTGTCTGTGTCTGGCTCCTGCTTGGGGCAGGTCTGTGACCCCTTCGGTCAGGGATGGACTATTTCTTTGGATCACTCTGCACTCTTACGCCGGCTCCTTGATCGTGCTCCCCTGTGCGGCAGGATCCCCTGCCTGCCTGGGCTCGCGCCTGCTTGCCCCAGCCAAGGGGGCTTATTCACAACCTGGCGTACTTGTCTGGCCCACCAGGCCGGCGGGCACCCTGGCACTGGTCAGTTTAGGGTCTTCTATGGTGTGCTTTCCCCGCTTTTGGCTCTTCGGGTGCGTTGCCTGCCCTCGCCAAATGGAGACTATGGAAATGGGAGGAAGTCAGCTCCTGGACTCTCCGGTTAATCCTGTCTCTGGTCTCTCCTCCGGGGAGTCTGGGCAGCTCTCTGACCCCTTGGGCCAGGGATCTACTAATTCTGTGAGCCGTTCCACATTCGCGAGCCGCGCGGGTCAATTTACGCCTGCTCTTGCCTCTCTGCTCGCTCCCTCGCAGGCCATATCAGTGCCAATCTGTGGGAGGCCTTGCCAGCCCATGTAAGCCCTCGCCAACCCTTGCCGGCCACTCGGCGCAAGTGTGCGAGCCTGCGTTGGGTGGTTTTGGGGTGTCTATTTTGTGCTTTTCGGCTTTTGGCTCTTTGGGGGTGTGTCCTCTTCCCGCACAATGGAGACTATGGAAAGGAGAAAGAGTAGGGACTCCCTGGTTCCTCCTCCCGTTCTTTCCCCAACGCCTCCGTCTCCAGTCTCTCCTCAAGGCTCTCCCAGCCAGTCTGCACTCAGCCCCCCAGCTCACATATACAAGCTGTGTGCGTAGCGCACAAAAGGCAGGTTAATCGAGTCCCTTATGCCTGAGCGAGATGGGAGCTGCAGAGTGGGAGATGCGTTATCACTGGGGCTCCACCGGCCGCCGTCTCTGCTTTTCTTCACGAAGTTTTCCTCACCAGTCTTTTCCCAGGCACCAGCCCACCCTTGCTGCCACCTCTACCCAGAGATCAAGGAGGGTGGCTGCCACTGCAGTTTTTGCGTTGGCCCTTTAAATGTCTCTTTGCTTCCCCAGCCACCTGTCTTTGGCAGAGAGCTCCCCTAAGCTTTTTGGGGTTGAGTTTTGTCTGTATTTTCTTGGTTTTAGCTGTTGTAGTTTAGGGGTCCCTGTTTATGATTCAGTCCCGGTTCTTGGGGCGAGCTAACTGGCCGTTTCAATGCCCCTCTGATGCTAGTGCCCGTGGGCACCCAGCCCACCCTCTCGAGCCTCCACCGCACTTCTCACCCGTTGGGATGTGTGAGAGTCGAATCCACTGTCTGTCCGCGGCTCCAAGCCTCCTCTCCCACTATTGCTCCATTGTTTTCCAGGTTATTACTCCACTATTTAGTCACAATTCCCATTTGGTCTTGGGGGAGGAGATCAGCATGACTCCCATTCACTCCTCTGCCATCTTTTTTTTATTGACTCTGTATGTTCTTAACAGTGTAAGAAGTAAAGATTGTAGTTTTAGCTCTAGAGATAATAGCAATACTTAGTACTTAGTTCTATGTCTTTGGGCTTTTTTTAGGGAAAAAATTCTTATTCTTTGCAGGTGATGTTTAAAAAATTAACGTCAGTCTTCCGCAAGCCTTTCTTGGCTCTGCCAACTTTGAATGTACTCTCTTTTCATCTAATCTCTTCTTCAGTGCCAAGTGTGCCTTACCTTTCATTAACTCTAATTCAGTGCAATCAGTTGACTTGTTTTCTCCAAATTTCCAAAATCATTAGCTTCTCAAAATATATCTTAATTATACAAAGTACTTTATACATTGTTGATCACCACTTGCCTCTTGAAGTTTTCTTCCCTTGGTTTCATTGCTTTTGTTTATATTCTCTTCCAGTCTTCAGTATCTTTCTTAATGTTTTACTTTGCTACTCCTTTTCCATCTTTTCTTAAATATTGATAATCCAAGTTTCACTTCTTGACCACATCTTTCTCTTCAGTTCTTGGACATTTTGTATGCCATGGTATCATTTCTGACTTCTTTTCTTTTCCCCTCTCAAACCCTTTCTCCTCCACTTCTCATCAGTTGCTTCTCCACTGAACATATGTCTTTTATGCCTTAATTCTCTCTTGTCTTCACATCACTTTAATCGAGACCCTCTTTGTCCCTTGTATAAGCAGTTACAATTGCCTCCAGTTAGGTTTTCCTGTCTTTGTCTTTCTCTACAAATTACTTTGTCAGTAACTGAAACTCAGGACTACATAACTAATGTATGTATGCCACAATCTTCCGACATTACTCATGCAGTTACTTACAGCTAGAATATTGTGTCTTCTATTTAACCTTTTGACTACTACACTTTAAACATTCTGTATATGACCTTGTTCTCTCAAGTACAATAGCTCTTACTTTCTGTTGTGTTTTGTTCTGCACTTTGAACATCCAACTAGTATAACTATAGATTCCCTTTTCAGGCTAGAAATTCTTGGGTAGCAAGGATTGTGTTTTGATGTTTGTGTCAATTGAAATAATATAAAGGGATGTGAAGAAAATCAATAGACTGAAAATTTGATTTTGATTTTTGTGTTCTAAATAAGAGAAGCACCTATTTAATAATGAATAAGGTATACCAACTAATGAGGCAGAAGATTAGGTTTTAAATTACGTTATTCCTTAATTTTCTTTTTTACTCCCTCTAGTGTCTCTCTGAAGATACAAGTGTGCGAGAAGTACTACAGAAGCATTTCAATGTCAGCAAAAACCTGCGGTCATTACACATGCTACTGGTTTGTATTAGTTTTGATTTTATCATTTATTTTATTTCACCAGGTAATTCTCTTCTGATGGGAATTGATTAAACCTGTAGGTAGGTTTTGGGAGAAATCTCTTTACTACAAGGAGTCTTCCAATCCCTGACTGTGGTATATCTCTCCTTTTATTAAGTTTTTTAGATTTTGTCCCATCTTTATTTTATAATTTTTACCACTCTGGTCCTGTTTATTCATGTTTAAAGTGTATACCTAAATATTTAATTTTTTAGAGCATTTGTAAATGATACTTTTTTTTAATTTTGTTTTCAGCATGCTCATTGTTAATATTCAGAAATGTGATTGATTTTTGTATGTTGATGTTGTACTCTACTACCTTGCTGAATTCATTCTAGGAGTTTTTTAGATTTCTTGAAACGATCATAACATCTGCAAATAGATTATTTTTTCCTTTTCAGTCTGATATATTTTATTTCTTCTCTTATTTCACTGTCTAGAACTCCTCATTCTATGCTGAGTAAGTGTGGTGAGGGTGGAGATCCTCGCCTTGTTTTTAATCTCAAAGGGAAAGAATTCAGTCTTTTATCATTAAGTATGATGTAAGCTGTGGGATTTTTATACATGTTTGTTATCAAGTTACAGTAATTCCCATCTATTCCTAACTTGATGATAGTTTATTGTGAATGGATGTTGAACTTGTCCAGTGCTTACTGTGTATCAATAGATATGTTCTATGATTTTCTTTAGCCTATAATATGTTGGATTATATTGCTTTATTTTTTATGTTGAACTAGCTTTGCATACCTGGAATAAATCCCACCTCGTTACGGTCTTTGACAAAGTAATTATATCTTATGCTTAAACAGTGTCAATGAAGAGGAACTTTATTCTGAAAATTAAAGCTCTTCCTTCATTAAGATTATTGGATGTTAGCCTCATGTTCCTAGAAAATTATCTATGGCAAATGCCTCTCAACAAAAAAGATAGTTTTTGTTTCATGAATTTCTTCTTACTCACTTTTATTTATAATAGTAATAGGTGTCTTTTATTAAATAGCACTTGAGCCAGGTAATATAGTTACTTACCAAAATTATATCTTTGGGAGGGGGTGTATTTTTGAAGAAACTGAGGCTCCTTGTGGTTATATAACTTGCCCCAGGTCACACAACTAGTAGATGGCAAACCCAGCACAAACCCAACACAAACCCAAGGTTCTCTGGCTTCAAGCTTATATCCTACTTCACTGTTTGGATCTGCTCTGTTTATTTACAGATTCTCTTTCCCCATTTCTATTTTTACTGAGGAAATTTAAGAGAATTTTGTTTCTTTATACTCTCTCCTTAGCAGTCCCCCTCCCATTCATCTAAATAATATTGCCATTTTCATTAACAGCTGTCTTTATTATAATCTTGGGATAAGGAATTTTTAGAATATGGTTTTTAGTTATTTGTATACCAAAGTTAGATATTATTTATAACTTACAGAATATAGAGGTTACACATACCCTCCACTCACACATACACAGGTACATATTCATATACACACACTTCTCATTCTGAGGAAATATCTCCCTCTCAGAATTGTCTACATGAACAATCACTGTTTTGCTAATTTTCTATTACATTGCTAATTCGAGATAATGGCTTGCGTTTGTCTTGATTTTTCTTGTTTAAGAAAAGTTTTGGTATTGGTGCAAATTATAAAGAAGAGGTAAAGTCTTGATGAAGATTTAACTATATTTTGGGTAGTTTTACAACAAAAAATATCAGGAGTTATACACATGGGGGGAAAAAAACACCCTCATTGCAAAAGTGAATTCCCATTTACCTAAATGTATGTACAAAAAAAGCACTTTAAAAATTTAGAAAAATATCTAAGAAAATAATATATTTGTAATTTTGAGGTAGGGAAAGATTTCTTAGAGAAAATACACAAACCTAACTCATAAAAAAAAGATTGATAAAGTTAACTACATATAATTTTTAAATATCTGGACAAAAGAAACCACAGAATAAGTGAAGACTGGATGCAATGCATGTAATCATCAGTACAATCCGTAATAATTAAAGAGCATCTATAATAATCAATAAAGGAATGAACTAAGAATATCAGCAAACAATCTAGAGGAATGTAGAATCTCACATGCCCTATAATATACGAAGATGTTTAACCTCTCCAGTAACAAGGGAAGTGGTACAATTTAAACTTTACATAATTAAACACTACAATTAAACCATTTTCCCTGCCAGTCTGGTGGGTATCAAAGTTCATGTCTGATGGAAATATGTCTGTGGCTATTTAAAATTGTTGCTGCTGATAGTGTAAAAATATATAGGTATTGTGGAGAACAATTTGGCAAATTAGGTACCTAGAGTTAACTCAAATGCACAAAAGGACACGTACAAGATAGTTTATTGCAGCCTCGCTTACTATTGCGAAAAGAGTAAATGGGAGGTATCCTTCAATAAGAAAAGAATAATTAAATTGCAAAGCAGTACAAAGGGAAAAAATGAAGAAACTAGAATTGACACCTTGAGTGAAACTTTGGTTTTTATCTGTTTTCTTTTTAAACAATTAAACATGAGGCAGCTAACTTCTGTTACTTAAACTCTAATCTGGACTGGTTGACTGGGTAGTAAGAAAATTTATACAGGTCAGAGATCTGCCGGTTTGGTTTGGTCTGGGGCTTTAAATAGTTGCTTACTTATTTTTGATCTCTTCTGCTTACCCTATTCCTTTTCAAATGTATTTCTTTTGAGGAGTTGTAAATAAACAAGATAAGCAAATGGGAGGAGGCAGAGAGAACAGCAAAACTTTAATGCTTTACATTTATAGTTATGTGGCATATGAACTGAATTACTAAATTTTAATAGACCTAATATGAGAAAATACTTTTCCCAAGCATTAATATTTACTCTCTCATAAGAACAGACTCTCCAGCCCTAGCTGGTGTGGCTCAGGGGATTGAGTGCCAGCCTGTGAAACAAAGGGTCGCAGTTCGATTCCCATTGTAGGGTATGTGCCTGGGTTGCAGGCCAGGTCCCCAGCAGGGGACACGTGAGATGCAACCACACATTGATGTTTCCTTTCTGCCTCCCCTCTCCTCTCTATAAATGAATGAATGATGAATGAATGAATGAATGAATGAATGAATGAATGAATCTTTAAAAAAAAATAAAATATAGAAGGACGCACTGTTAATGCACTTCCAGTGCGCTACATGAGAAAGATGGCTGTGTCCCAGCAGCAGGTTTCTGTGGCTTTCTCTGCTACTGGTGTGTTGGGACCAGGCTCAGCCGGTGGCCCAGGTACCCAGCAGCAACTGCAACCATCTACACAACTGGTGGGATTTGCCCAAAGCAGGCTTTTGCGGCAGCAGCAACAGGACTTCGACCCTGTGCAGCGCTATAAGATGCTTATCCCACAGCTGAAGGAGAGTCTTCAGACTTTAATGAAGGTTGCAGCCCAGAACTTGAATCAGAACACTAACATTGACAACGGACAAAAAAGCAGTGATGGACCCATACAGTGCTTTGACACGTGTCTGGAGGAGTTTTATGCCCTCTGTGACCAGCTGGAGCATTGCCTGCGCCTGATACATGAATGCCTATCACAGAGTTGCGACAGTGCCAAGCACTCTCCCCTGCTGGTGCCCACAGCCGCCAAACCAGATGCTGTACAACCTGATAGTCAGCCCTGCCCTCAGTACCTGGTACTCATCAAAGCCCGGGTTGCCTGTGCCAAGGACATTCACACTGCTCTGCTGGACTCTGACAAGGTTATGGGGAAGACTCCTGCACCACCTACAGGTCCTGGGGGTGCCCTGTGAGGTGGCAGAGCTGGGCGTCGGGTAGGCTGTGAAGGAGAAGGATAGGGAAGGAATAAAGAGGGGCTTCAAAGCAAAAAAGAAAAAAAAGAAGGGGACAGGACCACGGGGCACACATGCCTACACACAACCCCCTGTGAAAGGGACTGGTTTAAGAAGATGAAGGAAAAGAATGAGAAAGAGAAAAACACAGGTACAGAGAGAAAAAATGAATTACGTTTCTATCAGTAATAACTCTCAATGTAAATGGACTAAATGCCCCAATCAAAAGACACAGGGTAGCTGAATGGATAAGAAAACATAACCCACACATAATGCTTCCTACAAGAGACCCACCTCAGAACAAGAGACCTACACAGATAGAAAGTAAAGGGATGGAAAAAAATATTCCAAGCATATGGTCAAGAGAAAAAGGCCGGGGTTGCCATACTTGTATCAGACAAAGTAGATTTCAAAACAAAGGCCATAAAAAGAGACCTGGAGGGACACTTTATACTACTTAAAGGAAGAATCCATCAAGAAGACATAAATATTATAAACTTATAGCACCCAACATAGGAGCACCCAAATACATAAGGAAAATCTTGGACGACTTCAAAAAAAGATACAGCAACACACTGATAGTAGGGGATTTATAACACCCCACTGTCAAAAAAGGACAGAACTTCCAAACAAAACATCAAAAAGGATATTGTGGAGCTGAATAACTCATTAAATCAAATGGACTTAACTGACATATATAGAACCTTACATCGCAAAGAAGAAAAATACACATTCTTTTCAAAGGCTCATGGCAGTTTTTCAAAGATAGACCACATGATAGGACACAAAGCAAACCTCAGCAAATTCAGGAAAATTGAAATAATACCAAACTTTTTCTCAGACCACAAGGGCTTGAAACTGGAAATCAACCTCAAAGAGAAACTTCAAAAACTTGCAAACTCATGGAAACCCAACAGTAGACTATTAAACAATGAAGGAATGGGTCAATAATGAGATAAGAGAAGAAATCAAAAAGTTTCTGGAAACCAATGAAAATGAACAGACAACAGTCCAAAACCTATGGGACACAGCAAAGGCGGTCCTGAGAGGGAAGTTCACAGCAATACAGGCCTACCTAGAAAAGGTAGAAACATTTCAAATACAGGACCTAACCCTACAACTTCAAGAACTGGAGTAACAACAACAAATAAATCCCAGAGCAAGTAGAAGGAAGGAAATAGTCAAGATTAGAGCAGAACTGAATGACAGAGAGAGGAAAAGGACAATTCAAAGGATCAACCAATCCAGAAGCTGGTTCTTTGAAAAGATAACTAAAATCGACAAGCCTTTAAGCAGACTCATCAAGAAAAAAGGGAGAGGACCCAAATTAATAACATCAGAAACGAAAGAGGAGAAATAACAACTGATACCACAGAAAAACAAAGGATTGTCAGAAACTACTATGAACAATTATATGCCAAAAAGTTTGAAAACCTTGATGAAATGGACAAATTTTTAGAAAAGTATAATCTCTTAACACTGAAGGAGGAAGAAACAGAAAGCTTGAACAGACCGATAACAGCTGGGGAAATTGAAGCAGTCATCAAGAAACTCCCGGCACACAAAAGCCCAGGGCCGGATGGTTTCACAGGAGAATTTTACAAAACATTTCAGGAAGAGCTAACCCTGTCCTTCGCAGACTATTCCAAAAAACCCAAGAGGAGGGAAGACTCCATGAGGCCTCTTTTCATGAAGCCAGCATCACCCTAATACCAAAACCAGATAAAGGCCCTACAAAGAAAGAAAACTACAGGCCAGTTTCGCTGATGAACATAGATGCTAAAATCCTCAACAAAATATTGGCAAACCGCATCCAGCAATATATTTAAAAGATTATCCACCACGATCAGGTGGGTTTCATCCCAGGGATGCAGGGATGGTTCAATATACGCAGATCAATAAACGTAATACATCACATAAACAAGAGGAAAGACAAAAACCACATGATCATCTCGATAGATGCAGAAAAAGCATTCGATCAGGTACAGCACCCATTTATGATCCAAACACTCAGCAAAATGGGAATAAATGGGGCATTCCTCGACGTTATAAAGGCCATATATGAAAAACCTACTGCCAACATCATACTCAACGGGCAAAAACTGAAAGCTTTCCCACTAAGATCGGGACGACCACAAGGATGGCCGCTTTCACCGCTTCTTTTCAACATCGTATTGGAAGTCCTAGCCACAGCGGTCAGACAAGACAAAGAGAGAAAAGGCATCCAAATGGGAAAGGAGGAAGTAAAGCTATCATTGTTTGCAGATGACATGATAGTGTACACAGAGAACCCTGTAGACTCCACCAAGAAACTCCTCAACCTAATAAGTGAATTTGGCAAAACAGCGGGATACAAAGTCATATTCAGAAATCAAAGGCATTTTTGTACACCAGCAATGAAGTAGAAGAAGAAGAAATCAGAAGAAAAATACCATTCGATATAGCAAGAAGAAAAATAAAGTACCTAGGAATAAAATTTAACCAAGGAGGGAAAAGACCTGTACCCAGAAAACTATACAACACTGAAGAAAGAAATGAAGGAAGACACAAATAAATGGAAGCATATACCGTGCTCATGGGTTGGAAGAATTAATATCATCAAAATGTCCATACTACCCAAAGCAATTTATAGATTCAACGCAATCCCTATTAAGATACCAATGACATATTTCACAGAAATAGAACAGACATTTCAAAAATTTATATGGAACCATAAACAACCCTGAATAGCTGCAGCAATTTTGAGAAAGACAGACAAAGTAGGGATCACAATACCGGACATCAAACTCTACTACAAAGCCACTATACTCAAAACAATCTGGTACTGTCACAAGAACAGATCCATAGACCAGTGGAACAGAATAGAAAGCCCAGAAATAAGCTCAGGTGTATATGGGCAATGAATATTTGACAAAGGGGACAGAAGCATAAAATGGAGCAATAATAGCCTCTTCAACAAATGGTCTTGGGAGAGCTGGACGGCTACATGCAAAAAATTGAAATTGGATCATCAGCTGACACCGTGCACAAAAATAAACTCAAGATGGATAAAAGACTTAAATATAAGTCACAACACCACCAAAGTCCTAGAGAAGAACATTGGCAGGAAACTCTCAGATATCCCACGCAGCAATTTTTTTACCGATATGTCTCCTAAAGCAAGGGACATAAAGGAAAGAATAAACGACTGGGACCTCATCAAAATAAGAAGCTTCTGCACGGCGAAAGAAAACATCAGCAAAATGAAAAGGTAGCCGACCATATGGGAAAATATATTCGCTAATGATACATCAGATAGAGGTTTGATCTCCAAGATATATGAAGAACTCGCTCGACTCCACTCCAAGAAGACAAATAATCCAATCAAAAAATGGGTAAAGGACCTGGGCAGATGCTTTTCCAAGGAAGATACAGAGGGCCCAGAGACATTTGAACGGATGCTCAGCATCACTAGCCATCAGAGAAATGCAGATCAAAACCACAATGAGGTACCACCTCACACCGGTCAGAATGGCCATCAGAAACAGATCCACAAACAACAGGTGCTGGCGAGGCTGTGGAGAAAAGGGAACACTGGTACACTGTTGGTGGGAATGCAGACTGGTGCAGCCACTGTGGAAAGCAGTGTGGAATTTCCTCAAAAAGCCGAAAATGGAACTACCTTTTGATCCAGTGATTCCCCTTCTGGGACTATACCCTAAGAATACCAAAACGCTGATTCAAAAGAACCTATGCACCCCAATGCTCATAGCCGCACAATTTACAATAGCCAAGTGTTGGAAGCAGCCTAAGTGCCCATCCGTAGATGGTTCAATCAAAATAGTATGTGACATTTACATAATGGAATACTACGCAGCACAAAGAAAAAAAGAAGTACTACCTTTCAGGACAGCATGGATGGAACTAGAGAGCATTATGCTAAACAAAAGAAACCAGGGGGCGAAAGACAACTGCCATATGATCTTACCTATAAAGGGAACCTAATCAACAATACAAAGATGCAAGGAAAATAAGACCAGCAACACAAAGAAAAACAACAGAGACAAGAGGGACGGAGGGAGGGGTGGGCAGGCTAAAAGGAAGGGATGAGTCAACATATAGCAAGGACTCATGGACAAAGGTAAAGTCGGGAAGGATTGAGGGAGGGAGGGGGAGAGGGGGGCAGTTGAAAGTGGCAGGGGGAAAGCAGAGACAAATGTATTTGGAAAAATAAATTTTAAAATTAATAATAAACACTTTGTGAAAAAGAAAAGTTAAGTAATATCCCCAGATTGCCAAAGGAAGTAAGTAATTGTTTATTGTTTTTCTGCTCTCCATTTCCCTAGATGCTTGCTTTAAGTCATATAACAACATCACACCCATTTGTGACTGCCGCAGATCTGATGGAGGCACACCAGCTGTGTAGCATGGACTCTAAAGCAAATATTGTACATGGTGAGAAACCTACTTAATTAATACAGGGTCCAGTAGAGGTAAGGGGTGCTTGAGTGTGGTTAGTAGGGCAGTAATATGGGTGTAATAATTTATAGTTTTAATTTAAACATGTCACCTAAAATTTCATATACTGTCCTTGAGTGTGATAATTGTTATGTTACAGAATTACATGCTTATAATTTTGTAATAAAAGATTTTATAATAAAAAAGGGGCAACATTTGTGCTGAACCCTGTAGTTAGTTTATAGGTTTGAGTTTGTATAAAGGGGTGCTTTTCAAAATTATAATTAACATTAGGTATAGTGCTTTATATACAGAATTCTTTTATATCCACTCTACCTTTAACTCAGCCTTTTATAAGGTGTTTTCAGTACCAGTTAAAGGTAAATAAAATTGATACTCTTTCCCCACCTTCCCACATTGGGCATCCCGCTAAGACTGTACTTCAGGTGTTCTTACTGCACAAAGTGCTGTTGAAGAGCATTCACTTTTAGCCATTCGGGGGTTTACTTTCCCTTTTGAGACTCAAATGAAATCAAATGTACCTTCTCTCCAGGAAAAAAAGATTTTGGTATAATTTCCAGGGATTTAGGATTTTCTGAATAATCAAGAGCCCTGTTTGATTTAAAGTTACATAATGACTGATTGTGCTTTAGTTTTTTGTTTTTTGTTTACTGTGGGCCATATGGTAAGTGCTTACTAATATTGTCGCTAACCCTGCTAACATCTCTGTAAGTTTAGAAAGATCCTTACTTCATTGATATGAAAACTGAGCTCAGAGAAGTTGAGTAACTTGCTTAAAATTATATGGATAGTGTTAACTGAAACACATTTGAACCTCAGTTTTCTTGACCTCTCCCCACCCTTCAAATCCATGATCTTTCACTGTATCATTCTATTTGGAGGTCAGTTATTTCACTCTTATTTATCAGTAAATAAAGTACAATTCATAGTTCGTTTCCCTTTTACTATAGGTCTGTCAGTCTTGGAAATCTGCCTTATAATAGCAATGAAACATTTAAATGACATCTACGAAGAGGAGCCCTTTAATTTTCAAATGGTCTATAATGGTGAGATGAGACTTTGGTAGTTTCTCTCTGACTCTACCCCACTGCTTATTTGAAGGCACTAACTTTGTCCTTGCTTTCTGTCCAGAGTTTCAGAAGTTTGTTCAAAGGAAGGCCCATTCTGTTTATAATTTTGAGAAACCTGTTGTCATGAAGGTAAGACCTACTGTTATTTTTCTGCCGGCAGGTATATTTTTATATCCATTGTCCAGTTGACCCTTGAACAACATAGGTGTTTTAACTGTGAGGATCCACTTATACAAGGATTTTTTAAATAAGTAGTATAAATGTATTTCTCTTCCTTATAACTTTATTAAAATTTTCATTATTCTAGCCTACTTCATTATAATAATATAGTATATAATACCTAGGATGCACAAAATATTTGTCAGTCAACTTTAGTAGTAGTCAGTTTTAGTTGAGTCAGAAGTGATATAGGGATTTTTGACTGGGGGTAGAAGGTTGTTGGTGCTCCTAACCTCAGCATTGTTCAAGCATCAATATTATAGTTGCACTTTTATTAATTTTGAAGTGTTGAATTTTGAAGCAAACAGCCAGGTGTTGTAATTTGTAGGGGTGTACTGCCCTCTACTGTCTGTTCGTAACACTTGCATCCTGAAAAGTAACAACAGTCTGTGAAATGCATTGTTATACGTAGCACTTTGCAACCCAAGGACTGGCTCTTAAAAATTTAGCATCAGAGAGAGACAAAAAATGCTGATATGAGCCATTAAGAAACAAACAGGCAGAATCCCATTGGCTGGTGAGGACAAAACAGAGAACGTTTTATCAGGGATCAGATGAGGCATGAGTTTTAAAACTTGAGGGACTTTATGCTAGTGTAGCATTGTCCATTTGAAATACAATGTGAGCCGCATTGTGTAACTTTAGATTTTCTAGTAACAACAAAAAAGAAAAAAGGTGCAAGTAACTTTAATAATAAATTTTATTTAACCTAATATAACAAAAACATTTTAATCTATAATCAGTACAGTTATTAATGAAGTGTTTTCCTTTATTTTCTTTTGTGTTGTCTTTGAAATCCATTGTGTGTTTATACCTATTTAATTCACTAAATATCCATTGGAAATACTTCCTCTTTATAGTCCATAAAATTTTTAGCTAAAGAAGTAGACTTACATTCTGAAATTGTTCTAAACATACTTAAAACTTTCTAATTGAGTCAAGTGTCAGATTTTAAATTGAACTTAATGACAATTAAATAAAACTAAAAATTTAATCCCACATTTCAGATGCTCCATATTAGTGGTTATCTTACTGGACAGCACACAGCTCTAGAGAACTTTACAAGAAGAAACTTTTTTTTTTTTTTTAAAGCAGTGGACCCATATCTATCCATTAGCATCCCTTACAGATTGTAGTAGTCAGAATTTTATTTCTTGTAGCAAGCAAAAGATGTTGGGGCGTTGCTCTTTCTTCACAACAACAGGAAAAGTATTTAGCACCCTGCAGGTTGGGTCTCTCCGCATTCCTAATGTCCACTTCTGTCTTGTAGTCATAGTGTGTGGGAATTGTACGAGTGGAAAGGGTTATCTGAACATTTAAATTCTAATGAATTTCTGTATTTTAAATAAAAAAGTAGTTTTGCTGCCTAGAAATATTTTAAATCTCCATAATTGTATTCATCCCCAGCCTCTTGTATTTTTGTATATTCTCCTTTTTAGAAATGGTATTTGAGCTATTTCTCTTTTCATCAGAAGAATTTTTGATATATAAAGAATATATTGTAATGATATTTTTCACAATAAAGCAGTAGGAATAGAAAGCTCAAAAATCAATTTCAGTGTGTCATTATTTAATGGTTGGTATGTCATGATTTAATGGGATTTTTTTTCATACCCTCATAAAATACCTAAAACAGTAATCAGAGTTAAAAAAGGCATAATACATGAGGTAAGAGGAAGTAAACAGATAAGAGCCCTATTAAGATGGGGAAGATGGAAGAACAACTTTCTGATAGCTCGTGGCAGCCTCCTTAGGGAAACAAGAACCTGTCCCTTCTTCATCCCATTACCAGTCTGCTGAGTCATGTATTTATTATTTATAGGATCGGCTGAACAGACCTGATGCACTCTTGGGGGTCCTTTCTCCTCCCTCATCTTTTGCAGCTGTATTAAACTTATGCAGCAAAGTCTTAGAAAGCTACAAACAAAATAGTGCAAATGTGAAGACCCAGGGTAATAACTCAAAAAGTACTAGTCTTATCAGATCTTAGTGTTTTTGTAGAGAACTGGAATCCTCCCTTAACTTCAATTAAGGAAATATGATACAGAACGAGATTAGGGGAAAAAAAACATGTTGTGCAGACTGGATTAAAATTTGTTCTGTTATGTTCAACAATGCAGGGAGAGATAACTATATTGAAATGGCTTCACCTGATATATAAGTTTTTATGAAGTTGATGGAGAGTTGTTTTTGAACCTTACTGATTTCTATTAAGGCTTTTTTTGTTTTGTTTTGTTTTGTTTTTGTTTTGGCATTCTGCAACTGACCGAAACCCTTAACTGCTCTCTGGGTTAACACTGTTCCTTTACTTCCACTACTGAACCTAAACAATTTCTTTCATTTTTCAGGCTTTTGAACACTTACAACAATTAGAATTAATAAGGCCTGTGGAAAGAACTTCAGTAAATGCACAGAGAGAGTACCAGCTGATGAAACTGCTTTTGGATAATACTCAAATTATGAACGCTTTGCAGAAATACCCCAACTGTCCTACAGATGTTAGGCAGTGGGCAACATCCTCACTAAGCTGGTTGTGAAGCTGGTGGCTTCAGTTATGGAGTTTCAGGCAAACTTTTCTGAAGAACTAAAAGCCGTTGTCCTTTAACAAGATATGTTATTACATTTTCATATATTTATAGGTGATTATTTTTGTATTTATGGGGGAATGTTACACATGTAGTATATTCTTGGCTGTGCCATGCCTTTAAATCATGAGCAGTTAACATGATTTGTATTCCAGGTAATTCAGTCTGTGTTGTAAGAAGTTCAAAAAAATAAATATGACTTTTATAGGGATTGAACCCTATGTTTAACAGTTGTGGAGTATTTGTGTATTACATTTGAAGTGTTCATTTGGCCCAGCAGTTGATGTTTTTATAAACCTTAAACAAAGCAGTAAAGAAACAAGGGTAAGTGGTGAGATGTAGTAAGTAACCTGTTGGTACAGTGAGAGGTGCTGTATTTTTTTTTTCTTCTGAACCCATGGGAATTTCAGATTCCATGCCAGACCCAGCCAGGTCATCTAGTTCAGAAGACCAGTTTGGCTAGAAGATGGTTCAAATGGAAGACAAGACCGAAAGTTTGGATATTTTTTCCCAGACTTCTCAAAATGTGGCACTTAAACTGTGTACAGAAGAATCTCTTGAAGGACTTTTTAAAAATGCAGATTCTTGGGCATATTCTATCCAAAAGAGCCAGAATTTGTCCATTCTTTAAGAGGTACTTTAGGAAATTCCTGGAAAATCACTCCCACAAATAATGGGGAATGTTTGTCAATGTTAACTAAAACTATTTATAAGTAAATCCCTAAGAAGAATGTGAAAATGTCAGCCAAAGGATCACCTTATAAATTCAGGGATCCATAAAGTAATGCAGCTATATGTTTAATGTGAAATTTAATAAGCATTCATTAAGTGTTAATGACTTTATTTTTTTAAGATTATTTGATTGCCTATTGTTTTCCTGGAAGGTTTGCAGAAGGCAGTGTCACTGATACTGTTCAGTTCATTGTACAAGTCATACCTCATCGGCTTCAGAACTCAACAAATCCTGTATTCGTCACATTTTGACGAGAAAAAAACGTTTCAGCACTCAACATTTGCTGGGGACTCGTAGCACTTCCTGGAACTTGCATGAGTCACAAGGCCACCCCACAAGAGAAAATGCTTTCTCACTTGTCATTTGAAAGATTCATTTGGTGCTCGTTGGTTTTGGCACTTGTCACAAGTGCCTGAACGAATTAATGAGTACCAAGGTACCACTTGTAACTGTCAAAGGCCATATGATATTTCCATACTGTTATTTACAGATGAGAAAACTAACATAGTAGAAAGAGTCCAGAATCACACCGGCAGGAAATGACAGACCATGGTTCAAATCAGATTTGAGTGACACCAAAGTCCCTGCTATTAAGACTTGAAGTTCAGTAATGGTTCTTTACCATGTATTTTTTAAAGAATGCTTCAAGAAATGATTTACCTGGTTTTTAAGAAATCTTACATGTGGAATAGAAGTCTCTGTGCATAATAAAAGTAGCTCTTTGTAGTTACAACCTATTGTTTTGCATACGTAGCTATTCCTTCCCTGCCCCGTCTTCAGGTACTGTCATTTGCTTTCCGCAGTCTCACTCAAAGGCTTGTGTACTAGTTCTACGCAATACTTGAGAAAAAGTTCTAGAAAATATTTTGTCAAACTACTTAACATAGTAGCATCACTATTACTAGAAACAAGCTTACACTTGAGCTAAAATTGTCCCTTAACTGTAAAAATACCTAAAGAACTGACTTGAGGATGACAAGATTTTTGTTAGATTGAGATGCCATTAAAAAGCTGAGAGCCTTCATCTGCCTCCCTGGTACACACGAGCTACCTGAAGATCTATCAGCATTCATGTATACAGATAAAAAACTAAGTAGCAGGTGGGTTTTCATATTCAGTGAAGCAGAAACCAAGTGAGAAAAAAAATAGGTTAGCAAAAGTCATACAAATGAAGTGTATGTCTACATTCCAAAGTCATTTTTTGAGGGAGGGAGGGAGGGAGGGAGGGATGTTGATTTTTCTCTTTCCATGTTCGCTGATACAAAGCAGCTAAAGTGTACTTAGAAAATGTTTAGACTGACTTCATCTATTAAATTCTTAAACTATCATCAAGATATAAACCAAATCTGAAAAGCTCTAGTAAAAAGCTTTAGAGGATAATGTAAACAAACTTTGTTGAAAGATACTTTCTTCATTTATTAGAGGAGGAATCTAGTAGCCTTTGAACAGCACAATCAAAAACCAGCGGGAGGAGTTGAGGTACTGCTTTCCGGTGTGTCATCAGTTGGGTCAAATACACTCCTAAATGTTTTTAACAAGCATCATCAACTCTTCAGATCATCAGCTTGAAAAACAACATGTGGAAGAAGAGTGTTAGTGAATTTAGTGCAGTTTTTACTCATGTGATTCCCTCAGGTGCTCTACCAAAAACAGGATCTTACAAAAATTTTTTTTTAAATTTCCAATTCATGTGCACATGCATGTGAATGGCTCTGAGAAACTAAACCTGCTGTCCAAACTGACTGTACCATAATGCCATATATGTTGAGGATATATTAACTTCCTGAAGACTGTTTTGCAGAACGGACTATGGAAAACGATTCCAGTCTTTCTGTAGATTCCACCATGGTTTGTACTTTCATTTGATTTAAAAGACAATGCAGATTATTTCAAACCACCCTAACCTAAATCGTGCCCCTTCCTTCACATTTACCCTGAAACAATTCATTGGTATGAACAGTGACACTGCGTGTTACAATGTGGGTTTTCCACTCCCTTCTTCAAAAGCCACACTATAAACAAAACCTTTACAACATTAAAAATGTCCAAGGAAGCTAGCTCCCACTTACTGTTACCCTGTATGAGAATACCAGAATTCCATCTAACTGGCAGACAGGTTACAAATTGGTAATACAGCTTACATCTTTCATGACTACTTCCTAAGCCACATTTTTTTCCTATTTCCATGTGAAAAGGTAACTAATGCTGCCTAGCCTCCAGCTTCATAAAACTGGCAAGACAAATACTTCAGTGGGAATCTGCTTAGACAACAAAGGAGGGAATGTCACAACTGACAAGCCTCTCTGCACCATTATCCCCATTGCAAATCTCAAGGTTTGAGACTCACTACAAATTACAAAGCTCCTATTCCCCTCTTAACATAGCTAAAGAAAAAACTGCATATGCAAATCATACCATATTCATTTTTTTTTTTTATTTAACTTGGGGATGGAATGGGGATAGCATACATTTTATTTGTACAATATTTAACAATCGTTTATCCAAGGTGGGGTTTTATGGGGCTTATTTTTTTTAGCTTTTTGTTAAATACTTGCAGAAAAAATAGCAAGTACAATTTGACAGTAGTACAACAACCTGTGTCCAAAACACTGACAAAAAATACAGAGTAAAGCTAAAATAATTGCTTTCCAATATTTTGAGAGGTAACAAATAGGATATGGGTTGAGACTGCATAAAAAATGTACTGCTGGTTGAATATCTGAGGTAAATGATGTTCAATCAGGATGCTACTTGTATCATTTTGCCCATAAATCAGTAAATAATTTTATGCGCAATATACCAAATGTTCCTAAAAAGTAATTTGTAAAGATAAAAAAGAGAAACTGGAAAATATCTGTGGTGGAGCAGTTTTCTTAAATAGTAATGTTTATTTCACCAAACTTTCATCTGGCCAGGGTTTCCTACCATCTGCACTTTAATTAAATGTAGCTGTTAACGTAGGGGTGAGGAAAGGAGGAAGAAGAGGTTCTTTTAATTTGATGATACATGATTCTTTTTTAAATTCCGAACTTGGGGTTGTTTCCTGATTGTATTTTCAAAAACATCACCAGTTCATGGGACCAACAATTGTGAGGCACAGTCTCCGTTCTAGAATTCACAAGGTACCTGTAATAAACATTCAAAGGAGAATCACACATCACATGCTAAAAACTTCCTAGCATCTGAAATACACACAAGAACTGTCAGGGAATAGACTTCGAGTAAAGCCAAACACTGGTTATTCCATCATCAGTCCTATGGCAGTTGATCGTAAAGCGTCCCTTAGATGGAGATCTGGGCAAGGTAGAGTGTAAGAGCAGCAGTTCCAACAGATATCAGAAAGGCAAAATACTAGACGAATCGTAAGGAGCACCATACACATGAGGAAAAAATTATTGGGGTCTCAGTTCACCCCAAAACAAAGTCATTTTTCTCATTCTTTGATCTTTTTTGAGTATCCCTAGTTCAAACTTTTGTTAACTTGCCCACTCTGCACCTACTGTAAACAAACATAAAAATGCCCATGCAGAAGAAAGTTTTAACAAGACTGGGTACCAAGACAGGTAGTCACTGGAACGTTCTTGTTTAACTGCTTAAAAAAGTTTTTCTGTTTAGTTCTCAAAAGGATACAAGTGTTAAAATTGGTTCCTTAAGTACAATACCCAGAATTCTGAAAATTTTTTCTAACATGGAGAAAACTTTATCTTGTGAATAACTGGTCTTATAAAATTTCTCTCTGGTGCACACATAAGTCAAATATTCATACTGTTGTTTTGATTGGATTTTTAACCCTTTAATATCCAGGTTAAATGTTTAGAACATGTGTAAATTAGTCTTCAGGAGATGTAAATGTTCATGTATGAACTATTCTCATTATTTTCCTTTCTTGGTTAGTTTCAAAGTGGGAGCAAAATCAAATCAAGAAATTGAGAGGCAGAGTACTTTTTGAAATAGAGAAGTGAACTCAACATTGAAATGGGAATTCTTGAAAATAACTTGGGCACATGATGTGAAAAGAGAACATTCTGCATCGTGTGTGGTGCACAGACAACAATGCTTTTATTTCTCTCCCTGCTTAGAGTCTGGTGACCTATGTATTATTTATAAATAATATAACTTATTTTTCCCAGAGTAAGTGCATCTTATATGTAAAATGTACTGTGTGGTTAGGTATCCATCTGATAACACATTTCACAGTGAGCTGTTAATAGTGACATGTAAAAATTATTTTGTAAAATTAATGTATGGATTTTAAAATGACCTGACAAAAAGTACATAGCATAATACTGGCTGTTTGTTGGTGAGTAATCTAAAATTTCAAGAAATTAATATTTTACTTTGGCCTGTATAAATTTGAGAAAGACTCCAATTGAATTCTAATGTTATGTTGTTTTAAAAAGCACTTCGGCGCCTACCAACAATTTCATTTTCTTATCAAGGATAAGGCATGAACTATCTTAATAAAATAATGTTAGAGTTAGTTGTGAGAGCAATTTGCAGGAGGAGGCTAGGCTGCGTTTCCTATATCAGCATTGGTTACCTCTAAATGTCATTGCATATTTTAAGTTAAAAATTTAACTTGTTATCCCTGATTTGTTTTAAAGCAGTAACATCTGAA